CACATAAACATAAATTTTTCCAGATACAGCTGAAGTCAAGATACTACTTGAGTTCGTTGCTATGTTGTTGCTGCCATGCTCTAGCATCTGCTCTGGCGTACTCAGATACCCAGTTGATTTCTTGCTTGAAAATATATCGGAGCTCAAGGATGTAGATCTAGAAATGCGATTCAGATGTAAACCAATACCAGAATGGATGGGAGCAGAGGTGGTAGAGTTTACACCAATTTGGGCTGATGTAAATGACTCATAGGGGGAGGAAGGGAATTGTGAGGTGTCACAGCTCACATCCTGCAGACTGCTTGAGGCTCTGTTATCGAAATGAGAGGAAGCTAGACTCTTCAAGTTTGTTAGAATAGATGGTGACCTTGAATTGGTAGCATCATGTGTCAGGCTATTAGGACTCTCACTGTTACCAAGGACAGTGAACTTATACGCTTTTGCAGCCTCAAATTGAAGATGCCTACGTATACCGCGTTCATTTTGACCACTCTCCTTCATTTGAATACAGAAATTATTCAATTGCATGTGTGAGTAATTCGTTTGCATTACATACATAGAGTTGCTTACTTATGTGTGAGTGACGCATAAATGAGCAATAGGCGATATAGTCCGTGTAAAAGAAGAGTTTAATAGGAAAATGTCAATCTCTAACTATTGGCCTAGAAAGGAGAAGTTTATATACGGACATGTATAATTATATATTCAAATTCTTCCACTGCTGCAAATGAGGAACATTACTTTTGACATGAAAAACTTCCAAAGATAAAATATCAACATAGTACAACATTATTGATCATGAGCCAACTAAGGAAATATATCTTTTATATGATTTATACCTTAACCAATCCTTTTTGTACTCTCTGCTTGCGCTCATTTGAATCTTCGCGTGACTGACAACTAGCATTTTTTTCATCATATTGACATCCTGCCCTCTGCAACTTAACATTGAGAGAAACCAACATTTTAAAAAATAAACAAATAACCTCCAGCTTGATCATTAAACAGAATGTTCATAATTTCATGTTAAACTGTAAAATGTACCAAAATACCCACATTCACCTTAGCTGCATTCTCTCCACAATTTTGTGCTCTGGAAACAAGACAAGAATTTACATCAGACTCCCTGACTTTTTCAAATATAAACCTTGAGAGCTCTTCAGTCTTTTTACCATCCCTCTGATTGATTGCAGCTTGACTCATTTCAAGTGAACTTAAAGGCAGATCCTTTTCAGCTTGATCTGATAATAAAACGGCTTCATTCTCTGGGCTACCAAACATAATATCACAAACTTCGGTATTGGATTCTTTGCCAGGAGAAAAACCACTGTGTAACAACCGAGGGACTTCATTAGTTCGTTGCGAGCGCAAATCAGCAGAACGTGTAGAGTCTACCTCCACAGGGTCAGCCAGATATTCATCAACACAACCTGAAGGACTGCACAACTGAACCTCCTCAAAACTTGGATTCTGAATCTGGACTATATTTGTGTTACATTCTTTGTATACCTCTGAACCTGCTTCAACTATATCATCCCTGTAAACATTTAGGAAAAATATTTCTAATGAAGAGTAAAAAAAAAGTTACCTGGTTGATTGAGTTAGGAAACAAGAGATTAAACCAAATGGGGGAATAAATAATCTAGTGCGGTATCATAAATCGACGCAATCAGAACGCAAGAAACTCATGAAATTAGTTAAACATCTCACACCTTTCCAAGAAACTGGTTTCTCGCTGTAGATTAATATGAGGAGATGTAAACACAACTGGCGGTGTCGGCAAATTAGTTCCCAACAATGTTTGTGTATAACTGGCTGTCGTCGCTGTATTTAAAGGAGAGAGATTGCTAAGGAAATTGGAGAAAGGAGACTCCTACAATTTAAATAAACACAGATAAGAAACCTAGCTCCATTATTCAATAAGTCAAAGAAAAACATCATTTCTAACATTAATAGACAACATTTGCCTAGAACAATTTTAGCTTTTAAAAAAAAACAAAAAGGTTATCCCCAAATTTTTTGACATCCTATGAACTTGCTTGAGTAAACTATTCACAACTGTCTCCAACCACAAAACATTGAACTCTCAAGTTCTTTTATTATAGTTTTTCTCTCTCATTTCCCATTTCCCCTACTTCTTTTCCCTCTCTCTCTTCAACCAAAAACTAAAAAACAAAAACTTTACTGAAAGGTGAAACCCCAAAATTCTCTTAACAAATCCCAAAACTGCTAAGGCCCATTGGAAGTCGAAACCCTAAAATTGGAGTAAAAACGAAAGAGTCAGTTCATACTTGCACAGCCGGAGACGAGGAAATGGATGATGACTTGGTGGCGGCGATCCGATTGGCTTCAGGGGTACGATCCATTTTGTCCAGAAGAAGAATCGGCAAAGACTGTTTCCTAGAAAGTGAGAGAAAATTATTGGTGGGGATTTTCTCGAGAAAGTGACTACGAGACTAGAAGAAGCAGAGCAGTGGAGCAAGAAGTCAATGTCATCATCCTCGTACCCACGCTTTTTGAACAACCAACCGAGCGGGAAAAAAGCGCCGTACGCTACTTCGGAACCCCTTCCTTTCCTTGTACTCGCTGTCTCTCTCTCTCCTCCACGTGTTTTTCATTCATGAATTGGCCTCTGGGTTTTTGGGCTAATCCATAATTTTGGTCATAAAGTTCCTGGGCCTTAAGGCCACACTTGTACTGATTTAGGGGCTTTACATTTTTCGTCCCTAAAGTTAATTGATGTTAGCAATTAGGTCCAAATCAAATTGTGTCAATTATGTTACAAAACTCCAATGTGATGCTTGGGGTTATAATACTGATTTTGTATGTGTTTAAAATCTACTTTGATAATGGAAAAGGGTCTTCATTTGCAGATCAATTGTCTCATATTTAAATTTCTATGGGACTTTGATAGTGTGTGTGTGTGTGAGAAACTTTCATCCCCATTAAAATTTAGACCATCGCGTGTATTGAAAAAAAAAAAATTCATACATATGATATGTGTAATCGGGTCGAGTTTGTAACAAGTTGACACAATATGCGCTTTAACAAATCTTCATTTCCACAATAAATTTTAACCAATAAGTAACACGTTATGTTTATGAAAACTACTTTTAACTTTATATATATATATATATTGTTAATAGGTATGGACATTAACTATGTTCTATGAAAAGAGATTTTGAGTGATTTGGACATGGAAAATGATTCAAGTTATAAAGGATAAATATTTATTTTTAATTGCTAACAGTGAAAATGAAAATTGTACGTAATAGGAGAATGGAGAGGTGTCAAACGGACCAAGGCAGCCCAATACGACACAAGCAAGATCCGTTTAAATAAGGCCTGACATAGTACAAATTGTATTTTTGAGCCATGCTGGGACGAGATAATTAGGTCTAATGGGCTGGGTCGGGCCATGGCTCGTCAGGGGCCGTGTTGGCCCTAAATCCAACAAGCCGGTCCGTTTAAAGCCCATCTATTAAATTATACTTTTTTCAAAGAAAAATAATATATTATTACATTTATATCTTAAATTCAAGTCTATTTTTTTCTTTAAAAATATATATCAAAATGTAATGTTTTCTTTAAAACTCAAACAATAATTTAGCCATTTTCTATTTAAATGTATTTTAAATAAAGTTATTGACCTCTTTTTCTTAACAAATAATAAATATTATTACTATATACATAATTGTAAAAGAGCTTTAAATGATGTAGTAAAAAAAATTACAAAAAAATGCAACACATAAGTCAAATTTGGTGTGGGCCTATATCGGCCCGGCACAAGCACGACCCAAGCCCATGTGGACTCGAGTAGTCATTGATGATTTCTCTAAATGAGCAGGCCCGAAACGACCTATTTATTAAATGGGCCGACTCTAAACGAGGCGGCCGGGCCTAATGGACATAGAAAGTGAATTGGACTTGATTGTAAAAACCAAAACTGTGGGTACCAAAATGAAAATGAAAATGAAAAGTAGCCCCAAACTAGAGGTTCAAAAATGCGAGTGTCCCTTTAGTTAAACCCTAGATAAACCCTAGCGTGTCTTTACAGACTAAAAACTCCTCAACGTTCTTCTACCGACCGTGTTTGGTTGCTGAGAAAATTTTGCCTAATTCAATCCGTTGTACTTTCCTGTGTTTTCTCTGCGCAACCTAACTGTGAAAAAGCAATGAACTACAGGTTCCAGAACCTCCTCGGAGCTCCATACAGAGGAGGCAACGCCATAATCACCAACAACACCGAGCTAATCTCACCGGTCGGTAACAGGGTCTCCGTCACCGACCTCATCAAATCCCAAACCATAACCCTACCCGTCCAATCTTCCTCCAACATCACCCGAATCGCCGCCTCGCCGGACGGCGTGTTTCTCCTCACCGTCGACGAGAATCACAGATGCCAATTCATCAACCTCCGGCAGCGTGTGGTGCTTCACCGCATTTCTTTCAAAAACGCAGTCAATGCCATCAAATTCAGCCCTGACGGGGCGCATATAGCGGTGGCCACTGGTAAGTT